TGTGAGAGAGCGGAGCTTCAAATTTTGAAATCAAAATGAGAGAGAGAGAGAGAGAGAGAGAAGATGTCTGTGTAAACAAAAGTGAGGGAAACTGAACCATTGAAATGTCTCTGTAATAAACAAAAGTGAGGAAAACTGATCTCAACCATTGAAATGTCCAAGAGAGGGAAATATTTTCAACCACGGGATTGAACCAATCTAACGGTTCATACTTTGACAAATAAACAAAAGTTCCATCAAATATTCAAAAATCTTCTTCCCTTATTATATAGATTATCTGAAGTCAAAATTTATGGACTTATTTTTGAAAGCACTTTTCAAATTTTAGAAAATAAAAATACAAAATTAAAACCCAAAAAAACAACTTAGGCTTTGTTGGCATAAAAAGTTTGGGTTAAAATAGTCATAAAAAATATATATATATATTAAAAAGATAATAAGACAAAATGTCACATCCGAATCATAATTATTTTATTTTTTTATTTTACAAAAGTAAAAAAAATAAAAAAATTGATTCCAAATAAAACTCTTTAATCCAAAATTAAAATAGTCAAAAAAAAAAAATTAAAATGCTAATAATTTAACTCACATCTCGAAGAAGACTTAGGCCAAGTTTGGCATACACAAAATAATCTATCTTTTTATTTTTTTATTTTTTTTATCACATTACCTCTCTATTTTTTTATATATTTTTTCATAAAAAGATAAAAAATATACCCCAACCCACTTTAATCCCCATTTTTATTTTTTATATTTAATGTTAACAACCACTTTTTTTTTTCTTTTTTTTTTTTTTTTTTTTTTATATTTTCCAAATTGTTTGTAGGGTGGTCCAAAAGTGCATAATTTTATTAATAAAAAATAATAATAATAATAATAAAACTTTGCTGACATCAGAGAGGATATTTTTTGGCGGAGGTGGGGACGCTTAAACCTCGGATAGTTTCCTGTCAAAAGCATATGACGTGACACCACATTTTTCCGCGGTGCCTATCGGTGACCGAACGATAAGCGGCTGATGTGTATGTCAATGTCGCGCTTTAACAAAAAAGATAGACGGGAGAAGTTATTTGGTGATTCAGGGTTGGGTCAAGTAGTGTTCTAATGCTATGGGCGGGAAATAACTTTTTTGTTTTTGTTATTTGGTAAGATAAAAAATAAAAGTTACTAATAGAAAATAAATAAGAATATATGGGTAGAAAATATTTTTCATTTGTAAAAGACAATAAAAAATTTTTGGACTAAAGTTTTAGCCTTCGTTTGAGAAGTGGGTTAGTTTTTTAGTTTTTTGACTTTTTTTAGCTATTTTAGCCTGGATTAAAAAGTTTAGTTTGGAAATTTTTTTTAGACTTTTTGACTTTTTTTGTGAGAGAAGAGTGTAATAATTATGAGTTAGATGTGATGTTTTATTTGTTATGGCTAAAATAACCTATTTTATCTTTTATGACTATTTTAACCTCAACCTTCCTTGCCAAACAACACCTTAATAATGTTACCACATTACCACCGCATCTACTTTCACCTTTGTTTTACCACTACCATGACTAAACATAAAAAAATATTTTTTGTCAAATCAAATAAATGATAAAAAGGTTGTGATTGATGGATGAAGTGAGACTCGTAATTTTATCTTAAGTATGAGGGAATAATTAGTGATTAGTCCGGAATAGGTAGATCATTTGGAAATTAGGGCTTTGTTTGGTTTGTTATTCAGAAAAAATTTTTAAAAAAATTATCTACAAACAAATTTTTAAGAGTAATCAAACCAAACAAATTTTTTCAAAAAAAAATTTAAAATTTTGTTTGGTTACCTACTTTTCAAAATCACTCTTTCTCATACACGTCAAATCAATCACTTTTTTTAAAACTCTCTTCCCAAAATAATTTTCCAAAATTATTTCTGAAAAAAGGCAAATCAAACAAATTTTCATACATTTTATCTCAAAAACTACTCTACAAACACAAACCAAACACATCCTAATTATTTTAATCGAATCTTTAACTTTTTATGAAAATACGCATAAAAAAATAGAGAGTAATATGAGATTGGTTTGGCATGAGCTATTTTGGCTAAATTAGCTAATAAATACAAAATAGACTTAACTAATAAGATAAAATGTTACCAATTTTTTTAACCAAATTAAAATAATTAAAAAGTTTAAAAATCATGCTAAACTAACTCATCCCAAACAATAGTTAAATGTTTTGATTTTTTATTATTATTATTTTAGCCAAGAAAAACCTCCCCCCTAATAGATGGATATGCATGAGCTATTTTGGCTAAATTAGCTAATAAATACAAAATAGACTTAACTAATAAGATAAAATGTTACCAATTTTTTTAACCAAATTAAAATAATTAAAAAGTTTAAAAATCATGCTAAACTAACTCATCCCAAACGATAGTTAAATGTTTTGATTTTTTATTATTATTATTTTAGCCAAGAAAAACCTCCCCCTAATAGATGGATATTATTAAGAGCCTTTTCAATAATAATAATAATAATAATTTTAAAAAAATTAAAAAAACATTTTACTCATATTTTAATTTTATTGTGTGGGTCTCCCACTCATGTAAGATATAAGGTTATTTGGGATATTCTAAATAAGTGCGCTTTTTAACTTTTTATAAAATATGGATTGGGTTTTGGTTGAGTTTGAAATGATGTGATAGAGAGGTGATGTAGCATAAATAAGATGATATAACTTAAATAAGATAATGACTTTTTAAATTTTTGACTTGTTTAAAAAATGACAAGCAATGCCTTAGTAAAAATTTTGATAAATTTTTAAGATTTTTAACGTTATTTTATATATATAAATATATATATATATTTGTTATTTAGGGATCTTTTGAGAAATGAGTTATAATCTACTTCCGAGATTATAACTTATTTCCTTCTCTCACACAAAATTAATTGTAATCAATTTTTAATCAAAATAGTCCTTAAAATACCTATTGGTGTTATGATTGAGTGAACACAATTTTTAATTTGAATATTCCGTTTTGTGGCGACTTGACGCGGTGGTTGTGCTTTTCCCAACTTCCCAAGCTATATGTTCTGCTATTTTTCTGGGTACACAGCACCACACTGTATTATTACTGCCCCGCTTAGTCAAACGTTTACGGTCGATAAAGTTCACGAGCACGACAATCAATCTTCCCGCACACACCAGATCTGTTTCCAGTTTTTTAAAAATACTTCTTAAAAAATTTTATTTTCTTATTTTTTTGTATTATTTTACTTTTATTGAATTTTTTTAATATTTTAAATATTTTTTTTAAAATTTTTTAGAAACACTTAACATAAATATACTTAAAAAAAATAATTTTTGCAAAAAAAATCTTTAAAAAATTTATTAAATATAAAAAATACAAAAATTTAGTATATTTTTCATATTTTTGTGTATTTATTAATTTAGTATTTATATTTAAAAAAAATTACAAAAAAAATAATATATATATATATATATATTTGAGTCTTTTAATAAAATAAACATTAATTTTTAATTATGTCAATTTAAACCTTAATTTTTTCATTTATTTTTAATTTAAACTATTTGTCTATTTAGGTTAAACAAAATTGTTTTAAAAAAGATTTTAATCATTAAATTCAATAAAAACGGGTATTTTGGACATTTTCCGTACACATTGAGTTTAATGATTAAAATGTCCTTGTTTGGTCACGTAAATGAATGATTTAAATTGAAAATAAATTAAAATATTAAAACTTAAATTGATAAAATTAAAAGTTTAAAATTTATTTCGTTTCAATGCTCAAACTTTTTTAAAAAAATTATTTGTAATTTTTTTTCATTTTTTTTATATTTAAAATTATAATTATCTTTGACTTATATATAATAAAGAAAATTGGTGATAAATCTAATTTAAAGAGAATAAAAGACATTAGATTCAGTTGACATTTTTTGTAAATGAGAAATCCACCATTTGTGAAATAGTTTTGTGAAAAGTTCTTTTATTGGTTTTGAAAACATTTTGTTTCTAATTTTATTCCTTAATTTATTTGTTGACATTTTTTGACTATTTGTTCAAATTTATATTTATCTGTTTCAATTTATATCTTTCTATTCAAATTTTTTATTATCTGTTCAAATTTATATCTATCTATTTATTTTTTCCCCTATCTGTTCAAAATCTATGGCTTTCTCTTTTTATCTGTTTAAAATATGTGGGTTTCTTTATATATTCTTCTAAAAAATGTAAGGGTAAATTACACTGACATCTACTGAGATTTGATCTAATTACATCCCACTCTATGAGATTCTAAAAATTATATTTCCATCTCTGTGGTTGATAGTTTTATTTTTACAAACTCTCATGCTTGTATAAAAGGCAACAACTCTTAGTATTAAAACAGAAGAGATTACATTATAATTTAACCTATTTTATAAGTAAGATGTAAGGAGCAATTTTTGATTTTTTTATCAAGTTTCTCAAAAAAAGTCATCAAAAAAGTCGAAAGTCAGGTTTTTACCAACTTTTCAAAACGCCCCTAAATAGTATTTTGAAATGTTGATAAAAAATAATTTTTTTAACTTTTTGTGATTTTTTTAATTTTTTTATATAAAAAAATAAAAAGATGGTGTAACACAAAAAAAAATTAAAAAGTAAAAAAAAACTGATTTCTTACCGCTGGTCAAAACCCCCCTAATTTATGAGAAATGCTAAACTCTTAGAATATTTATATAGAATTTACTAGTATATTTTTTTGGAATATTTTGATCGCCTGATCACGAAGGATAGGATTTAACCATGGTTAGTCCAAACTTTGGGCTGAACTGTGGTTAAAGAGGGCCCACTTGATGGCTTTAAATAGGAAGCTTCGGGCGATTCATTTTTCGCATCACCTTCTCTTCTTTACTCTCTCTCTTTCTCTCTCTCTCTCTCTCTCTTTTCACTGTTGTTTGATGGTGGAATCGTTCACTTTCCTCCTCGATTTCCATTAGATTCTCGTTTTCATTTCGTTTCGAGCTCGCAGTTTCTGGTGCGATCTCTCTCTCTCTCTCTCTCTCTCTCCCCCGAATGATTCCATTCTCTGTTCTGTTTCTGATGACATTTCAATTATATCTAGCTTGCTTCCATGAAGAATCCTTCATACATACGGGACCATGAGTGATGATTTTGATGTATGGAATTTTTTATAAATCCACAAACTAGTTGAAATAAAAATTACATATGGATCGATATATATGACATTTAGGTGGCTAATATTATGCTATTATTGGCCCTAAATCCTAATCTATTTGGTATAAAATAAATATGATTTGTGCATATGAATCGGAATATGTGATTTTGATGATGAGTAAAATACACTCTATATTAAGTGAATAGAAAATTATTGCAGAGAAATAGAAATGGCGGCGAAGGGGAACGGAGAAATGAAGTTTGGGAGCGGAGGGGGGTCGACGACGAAAGGACGGAATGGACTGGGGAAGATACAGACGCAGAGGAGACAGAACGGGATATGCCATGACGACAGTGGGCCAACGGTGAAGGCTCAGACGATCGACGAGCTTCACTCTCTTCAGAAGAAGAGGTCCGCCCCTACCACTCCCATCAAAGGGATTCAAGCTGCCTTTGGCCCCGTAGCGTCTCCGAAGAAGAGCTCACAAACTTGCAGTCCAGTCTTCAGGAACTATTTATTTTATTTAAAAGGAAACTGATTTGCAAATTTATATTTTTTACTTATTTTTATATTTGTGTAAAATTAGTTTATGAAATTTTAAAGCACGCAACTGTCTATTTCTTATTGAGTTAAGTATTAGTTTTATTTTTGGTCTAAAAAAAATTATGCGTTCAAAATCACGTTTATCTGTTCAAAATTTATATATTTATATATTTGTTAAAATATTATTTATATATACAAAGTTATCTATATACACATGTTTGTTTAGACTTTTGGGATATGAGTTAACTTTTTAATTATTTTAGTTTGGGGTTAAAAAGTTTAGTTTATGATATATTTTTTAGTTTTTTTGATTTTGAGATAAAAAATAAAATGATTATAAGTTGGGTGTGATATTTTGTCTAATAAAATTAAAAAATTTATTTTATTTTATTTTTAATTATTATTTTAGTCAAAAAGTCATTGGCTTTATTATGCCAAATGATCTCTTAACTTTTTACCAATTAACTCAAAGTTTTATTTTTATTAAATTAATTTTTAATATTTTTAAATAAATAAATAAATAAAATGAACCAAATTTATTTGTTTAGCATGCTAACAGCACGTTAATTTAATTGTCACGACATTATTTGTTTTAAAAAAAAAACAAACATATCCAAGTATATGATACACGAAAAAATTACTATACCTTTATTTTAGATTTTAAAAAAAATAGTACATGATGTACACCCAAAAAATTGTAATACTCAGGTAGATCATGTGAATAAAAAACCTACTGGTTTAGATTTTTCTGTGGATTGAATAATCAACAATATTAGATATTTCAAAAAATTTATTTTAAAAAATAGTTAACAATAGATATTTATTTCAAATGTATTTTACCATACTAACATTAAATCTAGATCATATAGATGGATAAATTTTGTGGAAAACTAGTATGCTTTGCTGAGAACAAAAAAATGACTTGTCAGAGTAGTACTATATACCCAAAATTTGATCTGTAAATTTATTCATAATGGTGATGTGAAAAGAGATATAGGATTGTTTTGAGAAATTGATAAAAAGTTAATTTTTTTGATTTTTTAAAGTTTATTTTGTCTTTTTGTAAATAAAAAACGTGAGAGGTGATGTAATTCAAAATGAGTAAAAAATTAAAAATTAGCTATTTTGGTGCTTCTCCAAAAGACCCCATAAATTTTGTATAATTGAATATATACCAAATCAAAAATTGACATATATCACCATAATATTATAAATCAACCTGTAAATTTTTTTTAGTAGGTAAATATTTTCTCTCACATAATACATGGCAATGCTTGGGACCAGCTCCGTCCATGTGTGGGATTGGATGATCTCATTGGGGGTAAGATGCGATGACAGCTTTATGTTGTGTTGAAAATAATTCTGAAAAATTTATAAATAAGCGAAATAATTATATTATAGAAGAAATATATTTTTTTATATAAATATGACATACACGAAAAGAGTTGCAGCTGAAACAGGAAAAATTTGGCACTATACACACAAGGGAGTTACGGCATTGAAAAAATGAAAAAATTTCAACTAAAATACTTTTTTTTTAATTTTATGTTTATTTTTTTAAAATTTGAGTCAATATAATATATTATTATTTTTTTGAAAAAGTTCAATAAAGATAAAAATAAGTCTAATTTTTAGTTCACTTATATTTTTGTGTTTAGTTAAAAGAATTTATTTTGATTTTTTTCTGAACTTTCAATGTCATCTAATCTAAATGTGTTTTTTTTTTTTAAAAGTTACAAATAAATTGACTCAAAATATGAGAGTGAAAAATAAATTGTGTAACTTTTTTTTTAATGAGTAAAGTAATTTTCCCTCATGAGAAACTTGTTTTGTTTTTTGTTTAAATGAAAAATAGATTTAATTTTGAGATTAACTTGTGTTAAATGTATGATCTGCACTTTAATATCAACAATGATACATTCATTTGAAATGAAAACTCTAATTGCGCTCTGATGAAGTGAAAAATAAATTAAAAAAAATAGAAAAATAAGACACAAACATGACATCAAATGAACTGTACATACACATTAAAACTATTAGAATTATTAGAGTTCATAAATTAAATTTTCAAAATGTTTTTGCTTTAATATTGACTTGTTGGGCTATTTATGAACTGATGAATCTGGTTTGGGACATCATGATCAGTGCGTCTTTGGCATCTCTAACAAGAGAAACTGGACCCAAGGTGGTGAAAGGAGACCCAGCTCGACAGTCCGAGACCCCAAAGTTCGCGCACGCGTCGCACCCTCATTTCACTCCTACTATTAGCGTTAGTGACAGCTCCTTGAAGTTTACACACGTCCTCTACAATCTTTCACAAGCAGGTAACACATTTAACTTTCGTAATGTTAAACAAAAGAAGATATATATAATTCTTTATTATTATTAGTTTATCTAATTTGTATTTAGAAGAATAATTAATTTTTTTTTTATAAAGAGTAACTTTATTTTAATTTACTTAAAGCAACGGCTAAGTTTGATAATTTGGTGCTTAAATGTGGGGCAGAGCTATATGAGCAAGCAATAAAGTATGAGAAAGGATCGTTCATCACGTCAAACGGAGCATTGGCTACTCTCTCTGGAGCTAAGACTGGGAGGTCCCCCAAGGACAAACGCGTCGTCAGAGACGAAACTACTGAGGATGATCTTTGGTGGGGAAAGTATGTGCCCCCACTCTCTTTTCTCTCTCTCTCTCTCTCAAAGTCCTTACCCACTCCCTTCCCATTTCTCGCATTAATTTATCACCAGTGATGTTGACATTTTTTGTATCTTTTATTTTAATTAAAAAATTAGTCATAAATTGAAGGAAAATTTTGTGCATCATATATACATTTAGTTACAATTTTTGTGTATTAGGTTATAACTTATAATTTATTGTGATAGATATTTAATTATATCTTATGGTGGTAGTTGTTTGGAAGATTCGGGTATGGGATAGGACTCCATGTTCATTCTATGTAATAGTCGGTCGTTTGGTTCAAAAAATATAAGCTAGATTAATAGTCTAACTAGACTATCAATTCTTTATTTGTAGGATAACTCCTTCATATTGAAAGATTGAAAGGTTAAAATGACATTTTTGGCTTTTAATTTTTTGTTTATATTATTTTTGGATAAATTACATTTATACCCCATGAGATTTGAATTTAATATATATTATTCCCTGGTGTTTAAGAAATTATACTAACTCTCTTTGTCATTGTAATTATTTAGATAGAATGAAGACATTATACCCATGCACTCTTTTTTTCTTGCTTTGTTTTATTTTATTTTTTCAATGTAATTTTATTTATTTTTTTACTAAGAGTTGTTGCCTTTTATATAAGTAGGCGACTTGTGAAATGAGACTATTAATCATAAGAGTGGGGATGACATTTTCAAAGCGTCAGGAGTGGAATATAATTAGATCAAACCTCAGGAGTGTTAGTGTAATTTACTCTATTATTTTTAATTATACTTTGTAAAGTAAAATAAATTTTTAACATTCTCAACTAAAAATTAAATTAATAATTAAATTAAATTAAATTAATTTTTATTGATATATTTATTTAATTTTTTTTAAAAGTTCTAGTCAAAAAATAAAATAAAATTTATAACTCAAATATAGTATTCCTATTATTTAATCAACAATTCAAAAAGACAAAATTATTTTTTAAGTATTTGTCGTTCTGTATAATATCCTAAACAAACATAAGATTCAATAGAATAGCCTAATTCAGACATTTAATCCCATGGCTAAACAAATATACGATTCAATAGAATAGTCCAATCCAGATATCTAATCTCATGACTAAATAAAAATAGGATACACATTTTTTTCAACTAAATAGTTAAGAGACAATGTAACTCGGGACTAACAGTCTGGTAGATTACAACCCTCTTTATCTAGTCTGTCTAAACAAACGCACTTTATGTGTTGTTTGATTATAATTCATTTTTTTTTAATTATAACTTTGATAGAATTTAATTTTAATATTTGTGATAATTAAATTCATAAATATCATAATTTGTATATATATATATATATGCCATATCATTAGCTAGAGTTTCTCGTATGCATATCATTTTTTTTTTGGTAAATAGATACATATAAAATGTAAGGAAAGTTAATAAAATTTATTCCGAATCTTTTTAATCCTTCTCCATATCTCAATATGACTGTTGTGTTATGCGTATGTATAGGGGTTCACCAAACATCGAAATGGACGAGCACACCTTCCTGGTGAACAGAGAAAGAGCTGTTGATTACTTGAACTCTTTGGAAAAGGTATATTAACTCTATTTTTTTAAAAAGAAGAAAGTAATTGCATATTACATAGCATGTGGGTTTAGCATTAATTCATTTGTACTGATGTGAGTTAATTTTATATAATTATAATTTTGATAAAATAAAAATTGATTCATAATATGTTATGTCATTATAAATTAAGTTAAAAATATTTATTTTGTTACCATAGTTAAACCCTTAGATTTTTATTGTAATTTTCACAAAAGACTTTTATAGGTGTGGAACATTTTTTTGTCTCAACTAACCCAAAAATTGTGAGGATAAGAAGAGATTATTAAATATTTTTGGAGTAATATTTTTTATTTTAAAAAAATCAACACAGAAGTATTAACTGTTTTGATTAGTAAACATGAAAAGAAAATTCTATTTATATATAAAATTTATTAAAAATTGGATAAGGCTGATGTAGTATTATTATTATTATAAATAAATTCATCTTCAATGATATTTTTTTTAAATATAATATTTATAATAAGTCATATTATTATGTATAAATCTTTTGTTTGTATAACATTATTCAAAATCAAATTCAGACCCAACTTGAAATTGTTCAAAAACCGTCATATAATTTCTTGAGGATGAGAGAATATGAAAAAACGAAAAATAAAATTTACAATAAATTATACTTTTAGCGTGTGCTTCCGTCAAGATAATTTTCACAAATTTCAAGACCAAAGAAAATGGATTGGGATGTGTTACGATATGATGTGTATCAAAGTAGTTGTAATAGTGGTGGTGGGTGGGGGTGTGAATGGTGATGGCATCTTTCTTGTCTCTTTCCCCTAATTTACCAAAACTCTCTGCCTCTGATCCCGTTGGGAGATGCAACTTTGTCCTCAGCTCCACTTTTGTTTGTCGTCCCGTGTCCTGGATAACTTGCCACAGTGCGCGTTTGGTTAGGTTCTACTTATTTTATCAAGGGAAATAAACTATCAGTAGTTGAGTTCAAAAAAAAAAAAATATCAGTAGTAGTAGTAAATTTTATAAATATTAATAATTAAAATTATAAATTTTTTCATGTGTAATAATTTTTGAAGATTACTCTGGATGATAATTTTTCTTTTTATTAAAACATATCATTATTTTTAAAATTATTATTGGTTACTTTTTATTATTTTGTTTATAATTTTTTTTTTTAAAAATATTATTAAAGAATGATTCTATTTAACAATTATCCCAAAAAACATCGCCCTACTTTATTTCTGGTTTCACAAACTCCACTTTCAAAAATTTGAAATATTAATTATTTCATTACACCTACCATAGTACTAAATTTATCTTTATTTTTACACTTGTTAACCTTTTAAATTCTAACTCTACCCCTACTTTCCTACAGCAAACCCCCTCTGCTCCTATAGTCCCTTCTTCAATCCACCTTCGTCAAAAGGGAGAAAGAAATAGGTTTTTAGATGTAGGGTTTATTCATCAATGTATTTGTCTGATTCTATATTGTAAGTTATTTGCAAGACTCATTAATGGACTTGCACAATACACATAATCCACAACCCAACAGCATGTAACCCTTCTTGAGATTGAGCTCTTTCTACTCCCTACAAGTTACAAGACAAAATTTTAACCGAATTTCGAAATAAATGAAAAGCAAGAGGTTGGTGAATCTTTGTCGAGAGGTTATTGATAATAGATTTTATCAATGATTTTCAGGTATTCGTGAATGATCAATTCCTGAACTGGGATCCAGAGAACCAAATCAAAGTCCGCATTGTCTCTGCTAGAGCTTACCATTCCTTGTTTATGCATAACATGTAAGTAACAAGAAAAATGTTATTAAGATTATAACCAAGTACTACTATCATGTTTGCTTTTGTGTGTTATTGAGCCAGGTCTAATTGCCCTCCCCAGATAAGTCTCTTTTTCGTTGACAACTCGACATAATACAATTAAATTCTCCTATTTGTAATCCATTGAATGAAAAATAAAAATAAAAAATAAAAAAACTGAGGAGGAAACATTGCTGGTATGTGATGATAATGGTTCATAATCATTAGTTTAGTGTACAAAATGGATAACTGGGTGGGTGACAGGTGTATCCGACCTACACCTGAAGAGCTGGAGAATTTTGGTACTCCGGACTTCACAATATACAATGCTGGACAGTTTCCGTGTAATCGTTACACTCACTACATGACATCCTCCACTAGCATAGATTTAAACCTTGCTAGGAGGGAAATGGTCATCCTCGGCACTCAGTACGCCGGGGAGATGAAGAAAGGCCTTTTCAGTGTAATGCATTATCTCATGCCTAATCGTCAAATCCTGTCCCTTCATTCTGGCTGCAATATGGGCAAAGACGGAGATGTCGCCCTCTTCTTTGGACTCTCAGGTAAAGTATCATCGTTGGATCGATCGCGATGCAGAGCCATCTCCGATATGTGCCCTTTCACTCTCTTTCTCTATCTGTGGTCATTTTGTTGCCGTATATGTGTAATTTGAATGTGATAACTATTTTTGCTTTGCTTTGTTATCTTTTGTTTCTGTTTTTGCTGATGAGTTCCATTTTTCATTGAATTTTAGGTACTGGGAAGACTACTCTGTCTACTGATCATAATAGATATCTAATTGGAGATGATGAACACTGTTGGGGTCAGAATGGTGTGTCGAACATAGAAGGTGGTTGCTATGCCAAGTGCATCGATCTCTCTAAAGAGAAGGAACCCGATATCTGGAATGCAATCAAGTTTGGGACTGGTAATATAATAATTCTGCCTTTTTTCCTTGTCATAGCACTGATATGTGAAGATTTTCTATTTGTTTGCTTTTTGCTTGGCAGTCCTGGAAAATGTGGTGTTCGATGAACATACCCGAGAAGTGGACTATTCAGAAAAATCTGTAACAGGTAATGCATGACTCATTTGGTAGCCTTTTAAGTTTGTATGTATATTTGGTCATGCTAAGAAGGTAGCTATCTGTGTTTTGAAATGTATTCACTCGATACTGATTGATCTAATTTGGGTTGGATGGGATTCAATTCTTTCCTCTTTGCCAAATGAAAGAATTAAAGTTGACCACTCTAAATTCAATAGGATATGATTCCTAATCATAGTACTTAGATGTTGAAGTTTGCCTTCATATTATTTTTCTTCTTATCACAGAGAACACTCGTGCGGCCTACCCCATCGAATACATTCCCAATGCGAAGATACCATGTGTCGGTCCACACCCAAAGAATGTCATTCTTTTGGCATGTGATGCATTTGGTGTGCTTCCACCTGTGAGCAAGCTGAGTTTGGCACAGACCATGTATCATTTTATCAGTGGTTACACTGCTCTGGTATGTAGACTCATCATCAAAATTACTTTCATTCAATGAAATTAATTTGTAACATTTAGTATTTTGGTGGCTAAATTATGGATGGTACAGGTTGCTGGCACGGAAGATGGCATAAAGGAGCCGCAGGCAACATTCTCAGCCTGCTTTGGTGCAGCATTTATCATGTTGCATCCAACCAAGTATGCAGCCATGCTGGCCGCAAAGATGCAGAAACATGGTGCAACTGGATGGCTTGTCAACACTGGCTGGTCTGGTGGAAGGTGCGTGTTGATGGTGTAGTGTAACAAATCCATTTGGTGCAGCTTCTTGTAAACTGAAGTTGATAATCACAAAATAAAAATTATAAACACCTCTCCCTCAACTTGCTAATGATCAGTTTTTTTTTTTTTGGCTTATTTAAACTATTTTTGTTTCATAACTTGTAAATAGAAGTTGTATTTTGGTACAAACTTCTAAAATTTTAATAAAAAAATTATTAGGTGCACCAAACAGGGGAACACAATTATTATGCACGTATGATAATGTTAATAGAAGAAATTGGTTTGTTATATTGGGAAAAATGAACTGATTTGTTCGGTTACTTTGCAGCTATGGTTCTGGGAGTCGTATCAAGTTAGCATATACCCGGAAAATCATTGATGCCATACATTCTGGCAGCCTTCTGAAGGCAAATTATAGGAAGACAGAGGTGTTTGGATTAGAGATCCCAACCGGGGTTGAGGGCGTGCCTTCAGAGATCCTGGATCCAGTGAACACTGTCAGTAGGCTTTTCCTTGATCTCTTTTCGTGCTGCTGTATGCTTTGTTTGGTGGTGTTAAAGCTTTGCTTAATTGTCTCATTTACAAAATGCCATTTGATTTCTAAATGCAGTGGTCGAACAAGAAGGCCTACAAGGAAACACTGCTGAAACTGGGTGGGCTTTTCAAGAACAATTTCGAGGTGTTTGTGAACCACAAGATTGGCAAGGATGATGGGCTGACAGAGGAAATCCTTGCTGCCGGACCTGTGTTCTGATCTGAAATGGAATCAAAATTAGACAAAATATGAGTAAGAACTGGAAAATGGGTTGAAATAAGTGACGATTATGTGTGGCTGTAATCGTTTGTTTGTATTGTTCTGTTGAAATTTAGTTCGAAATCCATGAATGTATCTTGGTTTTTTCTTCCGTAGTCTATCTCAAGATATGAGACTCATGTTGGTTTGGTAGATGTAATGTATTTTTCTATTATTATTAATGAATACCTCGTTGCTAGATGTAATGCTTTGTGTTTTATAGCATTTTATTTTGTTATTTTATATATACTTATTAAGAATATGAAAAATATCATATAGAAACAGGACCCTAAAGGGCCATACAAACCATGCAATAAAAAGAAAAGGAAAAAAAACAAAAAACATAAAAAAAAAAAAAGGGTCAAAAAACTAACTACGAGTTAGGAAAAACAACCGATATTTTTAAAGATGTGGTTTGAAAAGTAAGGTTTGCATCAAATCGAGCAATATCTGCTTGAAAGCTTATTGTCCAGATGTCATCTCTATTGTTGCTGTCCAACTCCGTCATTATTGTATTTCAGACATTGCCAGGAGTTAGAGTTGAGAAAGTACACCCACTCCCATCATGGTATGGGAGATGGCTCGAGAATGAAGGAAACCATTGTGAGCGTTGAAAATTAAAAAATTTATGTTGAAATTGGAGGATAAAACTCTCAAATTCCTATTTCAAACATAAAGAGTCTAAATTTACATTATATAACTATAAACTTATACTCTAAGAGTGTAGATCTATATTTAGGGGTGATTTGAGATGTTCTAAATAAGTGTATTTTTTAACTTTTTAATGTATAAAAAAGTAGAGAAAGTGGGTAAAAAAATAGAAAGGAGATGTTGATAGATGTTGATTGATGTGACTTAAGTAAGTGTACGTATGCAAAAAAATGTACTTTTTTAATGCATGTTAAACAAACACTTAGTAAACTACCCATTCGGCAATGCTCATTTTCTTAATGTTTATAAAAAAAAATTAAAAGATAAAGACTAAAATTATGAAGGGTGAAGTATCAATAAATCCTAAAATGTGATCTTATGAATGGTTTAGTCTTATTTTTTCTTATAAACCCAAAGGTCCTATTAAAGTGGAAATTATATAAAAAAATCGTCACTTACATGCTTGGGTTTAATTTTTTAAGGATAAAAGTGATTTTCTCAATATGTAAAATTACACATTTGAGCAATTTGAACTATAGAAGTTTTAGCGTTTCCCTCATGTTAGAACAAATCCCACATTATGAACAAAAACCTAACACTCTAACGTAACATTTCAATAACATAACACTTTCATGTAATACACTAAATTCATTGGTGTACTTTTCTCAAACGTAATAACGTAACACTCAAAAAATTCTTTGGCGTATCTGAAATGTAACGCTCCAATGTTAAAAAAAAATATAAAAAAAAATTATTAGTATACTTTTCCCAAATGTAACACTTCAATCAGTGTAATCACAAATGTAACACTCCAATGTAATATACTCTAATGTAACACACAAAAACACTAAAAAAACACATTCGTGTACTTTTTTTTTCAAATGTAACACTCGCAGTTTGAAACTATAAATTTATTCAAAACTTATTAAGGAATATTTGTGCTCATTTTGGAATGGTCTGAAGAATCTTGCATTCTTTTTTTTTTTTTTAGTGTTACATTGGAGTGTTATGTTTAGGAAAAGTATATTAAGAATTTTTTATTTTTTATTTTTATGTTATATTGGAGCATTATGTTTGAAAAAAGTACTCCAAATAATTTTTGTTTGTGTTACATTAAAGTGTTATACTAAAGAATTTTTTTGAAGTGTTATATTGAAGTGTTACGTTTAGAAAAAGTACACTAAAGAATTTTTTTGTGTGTTACATTAAAATGTTACTCTAAGGAGTTTTTGTGTGTTACATTAGAGTGTTACACTAATGATTATATTAGAGTGTTACATTTGGAAAAAGTACATCAAGAAGTTTTTTTGTATGTTATATTAGAGTGTTACACCAAGGAGTTTTTGTGTGTTACATTAGAGTGTTACATTAAGGAGTTTTGTTGTGTGTTACATTACAGTGTTATGTTTGGAAAAAATACACTAAAGATTTTTTTGTGTGTTACATTAGAATATTACAATAAGAAATTTTTATGTGTGTTACTTTAGAGTGTTTAATTAAAAATGCCAAAATTGGACTACTTTGCCAGATACAGAGTCGCCACTTAAATATTTTATTTTGAAGAAATTTAGGAAACCCATGACTCATGCCAAAGGTCACGTGTCCATCATCACCAAAGTTGCCTCGGCTCGGGAACTTAGGTACGAGAGGGAAAGGTCATGAATTGAGCACTCCTACTTGCCCGATCAAAGATCGGTCTCTACTAATCATGATATGATTTTTATCAACATTATATGCTCTTGTTCTTGTTTATTTAGGCTAGCATTACAATGTGATGCGCACAAACAAAGTATAGACTAGTTTGCTCAAATTGGAACAACTTAATTTCATGTTTGTTTTGTGAAAATGGTTTGATTTTTCCACCTCAAGTAGGATGACAGTTTGAGAATTTGCCACTCAACAAAGTGGGCTTAAACGTGCATTTATTGAATCGTTTCAATTCAAACAACAAGCCTTCATCCACATGCATTCAAGCAGTTTAACAAGTAAATATTTAGCCTCATGGCAAGCATGCTAGTCATGGTAATCACTCACACTCATGTAAGTATGCTAAAGCATTAAAAACTCACCTAGTACTCCAAGCCAAAAGAAAACAAAGTTAGAAAAAAAATGTGTGATTCCTAACTATACTAAATGACTAATGCAACACATGCAATAATGCAACTAAATAGGCTCGTCTATTAATATGGCATATGATTCAATTTTGATAATATGCAGTCTAAGCACGTATTCAACGAAGTATTGAAATGACAATGCATTTAGAATGATGCGCCAAGCCTCGGTACATGTAAGACAAGATGAATGGATGCAAGCATAAGGTATGCTAATTGAAACGTGATGCTCCTAATCTAATCATCGTAAGTGGATAAATAAAATGGAGAAAGACATGGGATTGGAAGACATACACATTATTACATTATGCTCTCACGAAGGAGAAAGGTCACGTGTCCATCATCACCAAAGTTGCCTCGGCTCGGGAACTTAGGTACGAGAGGGAAAGGTCATGAATTGAGCACTCCTACTTGCCCGATCAAAGATCGGTCTCTACTAATCATGATATGATTTTTATCAACATTATATGCTCTTATTCTTGTTTATTTAGGCTAGCATTATTACATTATGCTCTCACGAAGGAGACTCCGAATGAATAAGCTAGCTAAGCTAATTAAGCTAATTATTACAAAACTTGAACAAATAATTAACTAACTATCTAAGCTAATTAAGAATTTAACTAGGCTAAACTAATTAAATATTACAACACGAATTAATTCAATTAATCTAAACTAATTAAATAAGTAAACAAATTAGCTACCACTACTTAATTAATTATTACAATACAAATTAATTAGCTACAACTACTTAACTAATTATTACTATGGAGAAGTGGTTTAGAAATACTCCAGGATTTAGTCAAACGTCCTTGATCCTTTGATTGCTACCTAAAAAATGAGTGAACACTCCGGTCGGGGGCGTCGGAGTTAGCAGTCCGATGAACAAGTTAGTATGCTCTCAAGTTTATTTCTATCTCAAGTTATTTTATATATTCTCACATACCTCTCTTTGGTTGACGTTCATTTTTTTATATTACCCTTTGGGCCCCAAGGTCGGGCCCACTCTTAATCTCGCACCTGATTGCTTACTCGGCCCTTTGATTGCGTGCTGGTTCCCATTCGGTTCTCCATATGGCCGACTGTACATTTGGCTTCAAGAGCCCTTAGATTATAGCCGAATTGAATTCGGCCAGATGTCTTCAAATATCTTGGCCTTCCTCAATGTACAATTATTCGGCCCCTACAATTGCCCCCCAAACATCCAACTAACGCCAAGTAGTCGGCATGTTTGGTTTTAACATGTGGAAAGTCAAGAATACGGCGCTTGTATTCCTTCCAATACTGAAGCGTCAAAACGACTATGGTTTAGAAATCATTACAATTTCCTGCCCCTTCGTACGCGTTGTTCATTTAATGCGACATGAAGCCGTGTTGTCCCTTCGGATATTTTTTGAATTTGCAAAGCTTTTTTAAATTCACCTCTGCAACTTCACGACCTCTGCAACTTCCATCTGCTTCCCATTGTCCTTTTCTCTCTACCTTGTAAGTTCTTCTCTTCCTTGCATTTCTTCCTCATTCCAACTCCAATTTTCTTGTTTGTTTTTAGTTTAGCGTATTTTCCATTCTGATTCGGATGACGAAACATTTGAAAGCTCTCCTTTCCGCGGACCGTGTTTTCATTTTTCGACGCCACTTTTCCATTCTAGATGACGTCCATCTGTCGCTTGTGGCAGATAGCGTACTTGACATGGAGAGGACCGATGAGAGTACAATCATCTTTCCTCTCCTGTCAATCGCTGAGGGTGGAGTTTGTCTCCTCATTTATCCATTTTTAAGGGCCATCCTTCGTTATTGGGGTCTACTCCTTTCACAACCTAACGTAAACTTTTACCAAATTATAATGGGAATAGTAGAATTAAACCACCGACTTAGGAATAATCTAGGAATCCCTGCTATTCGGCATTGTTATGCTTTGACGAAATCATCTGGTCTGTAGGGACGCTACTTTCTCAGGACTAAGGACACTGATCACCATCTGGTGACTATGCTTGCCAGCTTTGGTAAGCGTGTTGATAACATCATGGTCATTGTCCGAGACAACTGGGAATTTGACGAAGGCGAAGATCGCCTAGATCCTGTGCCTAGAAAAAAAGGCGAACCACGTGGCCGTATAGTCCCATTTCTATGCGCATTTGTTATACTTTTATTTGGCTTAGATTGCATGTACTTACTGTTTTATTTGTGTAGGTAACAATTTGAAAAAAATACTTATTTCTGCCGACGACGTTGTGCTTCAGCAAATCAAAACTGCGCTCCAATTCTTCAGCCGTCCAAACCTCTAAAAGCAAGGGAGGGCCGCCCACATCTTATTGCAGTACGAGCCAACATACGCTACTTTTTCGGCCGTTGATCACATTCCGATTCCAAAGGGCGAACAGCTGCTCACAGCACTCATTTTCTCAAATTTCAAGAACCTTAGGGAGATTGGTCTTGAAGTTTCGGAT